CAAATAGCATGCTCTGTTCTTGCTATCTTCAAAGTAGGATGTACTATGTATAACTATGAGTATATTTTGAACAGTAGTTTGATAATCTTCATAACCTTATTTTCCTATTTAAAAACTCAAAATATTTGGTATTTGGCTACTCTAAACCTAAAAGACTTATGTGTCCACTTGGTCTGGAAAAAAATTTATTCTATAAACAGCCAGTTAAATGTTACTAACCTTTTGAAATGTCCCATGCTGACTCCAAAAAAAATTTTTACCTTCCTTTCCTCTTCCCCCATGATACCATGATTTTACTTTTGTCATGGGTTTAATTGACATATATATATAAATGAGAATATAATTTTTTATTTGTCCTATTTAATAATAAGTATGATTCAAATACTTTTTCTAATCTCCATTGATCATCTGGGTGTACAATTTGTACCCAGGTGATCAATGGAGATTAGAAAAAACATTTTGAATTTTTCAATAGGAAAATAAGATTACAAGGATTATCAAACTACTGCTCAAAATATATTTATAGTCATTACATAAGTATATCCTGCTTTGAAGATGGCAAGAACAGAGCATGCTATTTGCTAAGTTAAAAAACTATTGCAACCTGATGAGTTTAAAGGCTCGTGGAATTTGAGTTAGAATGGAATTTATCATTTGCATGTATCTAACCCTTATACACTATGAGCTCCTCAGTAACTTATTCAGCTCATTCTGCTAGGTGCCTCCCATACCTGGTAGGTTATCCAGCACGTAACAAGTGTGCGATCTCACCCTTGTTAGAGTACTTTGCTAGCTCACACCTGAAAAAAAAAAATAGCCTCTGCATGCCTGTGGACATATTAGAGCCTGCGACAGCCATCCACACATGTTGTGAGAATTCAGAAAGCTGGATTTATTGCTGCTCTGGGTCAGATATTTAGTTCTATCACCACATTAAAAAGTTGGTGATGGTTTTAGTTTAGAAACCTCAGCCTCCCACATGCAGGCTCTTCTAGATCTGACCTTCAACCTATCCCTCCCTTACACCTCAGTCCTTTACCCTAATAATACTCAAACCTGCTCAACATTTTTCCTTCTCGCAAAAACCAGTATTTCTCAACCTTTTGGTTAAATAAGAATAACCCAGATAAACTGATAAAAATTTATATTCCTGAGCCCTAAACCCTGAGAATAATTGCAATTTTATAGGTGGAGCCTAGAAATCAGCAATTTTAAGAAACATACCAGGTGATTCCAATGCAGGTTTTCCATACTCTTAGGAAAAAAATTCTATAAACCTAAATTCACCCTTGATTAATAAGGTGTAAAATCCATTTAAACTTCAAGATTCCCAGAGTACATCTACAGAGGGGAAAGAGAAACAAAGCAAGCAATAGAGTTGCCAGTAAAATGGGAGGGATTTGGCAAAAGAAGGCATGAAAGGACTGCAAACTGAGAGGTAAGAAGGTTAGGCAGACTAAATACACACATTACCAAACATCAGTCAGCCAACGAGAAATTTACATAAGCAATTGGTCCAGGTGGATGAAGGACTTGAGAAAGGTGTATGGTATGCCCTGGCAGGGAAGTTCCATCTTACAAAAGGGAGATAGGATGATTTTGATGATTCCATCAAATGTAGGAAAACAAGCAAAATGTAGTAATGCCATAAGGGAATACTTACTGAGGACTGATAAAATAAGTATGTATTTATATGTGCTTCTGGATCTATAACTGGTTAGTGGTTAGAAATAAAGTGTATGGGGCTGGGTGCGGTGGCTCATGCCTGTAATCCCAGCACTTTGGGAGGCTGAGGCAGGCAGATCACAAAGTCAGGAGATCGAGACCATCCTGGCCAACATGGTGAAGCCCCATCTCTACTAAAAATACAAAAAGTAGCTGGGTGTGGTGGCACATGCCTGTAATCCCAGCTACTTGGGAGGCTGAGACAGGAGAATCGCTTGAACCCGGGAGATGGAGGTTGCAGTGAGCCGAGATCGTGCCACTGCACTCCAGGCTGGTGACAGAGCGAGACCCCATCAGAAAGAGAGAAAGAGAGAAAGAGAGAAAGAGAGAAAGAGAGAAAGAGAGAAAGAGAGAAAGAGAGAAAGAGAGAAAGAGAGAAAGAGAGAAAGAGAGAAAGAAAGAGAGAAAGAAAGAGAGAAAGAAAGAAAGAAAGAAAGAAAGAAAGAAAGAAAGAAAGAAGGGAAAGGAAGGAAAGAAAGTATAATTAACACTTCATCTTTGTTGCAGGTAAAATGCTTCCATTTCTATGTGATATCAATGCAGCACATCCTAAAATAGAACTTGAAGGACAAGAGGAAACAAGTTTCAACAACTTATTCAATATGGTGGGGTGTCTCCATCTTCTGGGAATGGAGAGTGGTGATTAGGACTATAACATCTACTGTCCATTGCTCTGGAGGAGGCGCTGAAAGACTTTTGGATAAAACTCAATCTATCCCATATCCTGGGGGATGTTTTCATTTTATCAGGATCAAATCTTTAAACTCTAACAATTCATTTCTATATGTAGAATTCCTATCATTAGTTGACAGATGAAGTATGATGACAAGTGGAAATTGATATCAAATCAAATTTATAATCACAAACTCTCTCATATAAGATACTGTGGTTTAGCAGTTAATAATTCAGGCTCTGAAATCAGACTGCTAAAATTTTATTCACTGACTCCACTACTCATTAATGTGGGTCGTTAATCCCTCTAACCCTAAACCTTGCCTGTGCGATGGAGAGAATAATAATGTCTACCTTGTATAGTTGCTGACACATTTCACAATGAAATGAATAGAAAGTCTCTGGCATATAGTAACTACTCAGTAAGCTCTAGCTGTTATCATTAGGAGCATCATTATATTACAGCATTCTAAATCTATATCCTTTTTTTTCCCTTGATAGGTTCAAGTTTCATGGTCTTATCTACTAGTGCCATAGACACACACCAGAGTCAGATAAGCTTAGATGTGTATCTTAGCTTTATGTTTGAGGGTGGGTTTTCTTTTTCCCACACTGTTCTAGTTTGCTCAATTGTAAAGTGGATAATAATAATAGTTATCTAATTGTGTGCGTTAGATCATTATGTCCATCAAAAATGTGTGCATGTACACCCCTCAAAGTTCTAATGCCCTTCACTGATTCTCATCTTGTTAAGCAGTATTTTTATTGCAAAATACATAGGAACAAAAACCATTTGCAACTATAATAAAACAATTTCTAACTGTGTGACATTAAGCAAATGATTTAAGGCATTAAGATTATTTTGAGGTTGAAAATGACAAAATTTTAAACATGCATATATAGAGATGATATTGTTATGGTCTGGCGTTATGAGAGACAGCCAGCCCACTGATGAGGCTCTCCAGAACTGATAAGCAGTTATTCAGGTTGGCAAAGGGAGGCTGGAGAACAGACTTTAGTGCATACATTTTGTAACAGTAGCCACAAACTGATTTTGTGTGTTTGACCGACTTCATAAGTTACTTTTAATAATATTTACCTGATGCTTTGAAAACAGCCACAGTAGCACATTGTCCTAGTCTGAAATGATTATGTTATCCTGAAATAGTGCGCTGGCCTCCTTTGCTGGGTTTTATTATGGTATTTCTTTGATTTTGGAGACGCAAGCCCTAGACTAGCAGAATGAAGCATTAGTATTACCTAGCTACTTAAATGCCAGACTTATTCTTTCCAAAATGGATGTAAACAGAACATGCCTCTCTTCTTCATCCTTCAAACCTGGATTCCTTGCCTCGGTTCAATACTATCTGTTAAAGTAGCTTCAGACAGAATGGAGAATGTCTGTGCTCCTCTTCTTTAACACTGTTGGTCTGAAGTCATAGATATTCCTCAGTGAAACTGTCTAAACTCTCAACACTTCATTCCTTGTCAATTAAACAATGTCACTTGATGCTCATTTTCATTCTTTTTGTCTTAGAATATTTTCCATTTTCCCTAATTAGTCCGAATCTATGTGATTCTGAGTATTTGGTGCTAGATGTTTAAAAAAAAAAAAAAAACAAAACAAAACCCAAGATCTCTAATTGTCTAATGAAACCCAGTCCTTCAAAACATGTAGATACATTTTACAGGATTCCAAAAGCCCCAAGGACAAGATGAACATATCTCCAAATTAAGGCAAAAGTTGAGAAGGCTCGTTGATATATACCATCTCCTTTGAGACCATTCTCCCTTATTCCACATTTTATACTGTTAGAATATTGAGTGAGCTGAAGCTGAGAGAAGCTGGGAAGCATTCCACCAGGAAGAAGGATTTCTAGCATTCTACAGGAGTCTGTATAGGGGGAAAAAAAAGAAAAATAACACTTTATGACAGGACTAGGGCTTTGCACAGTCCAGTCCTATTTGGCTTCGTGGCTGACTAATGAAAATTAAATCTCTGAGGATACTGAGAGCCCAGATTTTTAAATTCTGTATTTTATGTCAAGCCGGGACACAGAAGGACCATAAACACTAAAATAAGAGTTCTTAATACCAGTAAAATTTGTTCATGGTGCATTTATTCTGCAAAGTCTTCTCTGACCTCTCTACTCCTCTGGATTGCTCTAAGACCACACTACTCACACGGTTCTCTGCCTTACCACGACGGTATCAGTAGCATGCGTCGGAGCCACAGAAGCTCGGTATGAAACCCTGCCTCTACCACCTGTTTCCTCCCTGATCATAGACGAGTCACTCAAACTCCCTTTTCTTATCTTTGAAAACAGTAAAACCTAGTTTTAAGAGTAGCTGGGAGAAGAGATACTGTGCACAGTGTAAATTTTCGGATACATAATTGATGTTCAATATTGCCATGCTGCTTGCTATTGTAATTTGTTTCTCTCTTTGTGCATCACTTGCAGACCAAAATATAGATCACTATATTCTCAGAATGTAAGGAAGTGTTGGGTATTCAATATTATTTTACCGATTGGTTAAATGACGATTGGTAGCTATAGACCAGTTACAGAGTTCTGTTTCATTTCCCCTGCAGCTGACTGAAGATGAACTCTGAAAACTGGACTCAGGTAAGAAACTTTGTTCTTCTGGGTTTTCCCAGTAGCCACCTCCTACAGTTCCTGGTGTTCCTGGGGTTAATGACCACCTACATTGTAACAGCCATAGGCAACCTGCTAATTATTGTGCTCAGCTGGATAGACCGACGCCTGCACACACAGATGTATTTCTTCCTGCGGAATTTATCCTTCCTGGAGCTGTTGCTGGTAACTGTTGTGGTTCCCAAGATGCTTGTCGTCATCCTCACGAGGGATCACACCATCTCATTTGTCAGCTGCATCATCCAGTCCTACCTCTACTTCTTTCTAGGCACCACTGACTTCTTCCTCTTGGCCGTCATGTCTCTGGATCGTTACCTAGCAATCTGCCGACCACTCCACTATGAGACCCTGATGAGTGGCCATGTCTGTTCCCAGCTAGTGCTGGCCTCCTGGCTAGCTGGATTCCTTTGGGTCCTTTGCCCCACTGTCCTCATGGCCAGCCTGCCTTTCTGTGGCCCCAATGGAATTGACCACTTCTTTTGTGACAGTTAGCCCTTGCTCAGGCTCTCTTGTGGGGACACCCATCTGCTGGAAATGGTGACCTTCATGCTCTCTACGTCAGTGTTACTGGGCTCACTGACTCTGACCTCAGTTTCCTATGCCTGCATTCTTGCCACTGTTCTCGGGGCTCCCACAGCTGTTGAGCGAAGGAAAGCGTTCTCCACTTGCGCCTCGCATCTCACAGTGGTGGTCATCATCTATGGCAGTTCCATCTTTCTCTACGTTCGTATGTCAGAGGCTCAGTCCAAACTGCTCAGCAAAGGTGCCTCCGTCCTGAGCTGCATCATCACACCCCTCTTGAACCCATTCATCTTCACTCTCCGCAATGACAAGGCGCAGCAAGCACTGAGAGACGCCCTGGGGTGGCGCAGGCTCACTGCTGTGATGAAACTGAGGGTCACAAGTCAAAGGAAATGATCTTATTAAATGGGAGATTAAATGTTTATTGAAAATTTTTTAAATGTGCGGAAGTTTAAGGGATGTAGGCAACACTGTGCACTTTTCTCAGCTAATGAAAGAACAGTCTTCTTAAATATACAACATGATATATGGTGGTAAACCTTCATTTTCCCTCCCTACAACCTTCCTTGTGCCTCCTCCTCCCCACAGAGAAGGCTGTTCCAATTGGTTAAATTTCTTTTAAGTGGGATCCCTGGATTGGAGAGCACATGTGAGCATGTGAACTGCATACAGGAAGGCTCCTCTTTCTCTTCATGTGTGTGCTTAAACACTTTTCTTACTGCATCAGTCTCCTGTGTCATGTAGCCAATCAGAAGATGCTGAAATATGGAGATTCAAATTTGGAGCTCAGTGGGGAGTAAGAGGGCCTCTGAGGTCTTCCAACCTAGACTGGGTATTGCAAATAAAATTAACCAGAACCTCTGTATTATTAGAAAATCCAATTCTGGCTGCAGTAATAAATGGTTCTCTGATTCACGTTTGTTATTGCTCCCTATGTAACTAGCAGCTCCTATAGGAATCTTATAAAGGAAGAATGTTAAGACCAGTGAAACATTTGGATAGCCCTAATTCCTAAGTCAAACTCTACTAACAAACTCAAATATGGCAACAATCATTTAATCATTCCTTTAAGAAATATTATTAAATCTCTAATATGTTTCAGACACTGTGCCAGGCAAGGCTCCAACTAGGGTGAACCAAGGGAGATGTCTACAGAATACATTTTAAAGAGACATGCACTTTCAGGGGAGTGTAAGTGCAGGGTCAGGCTACTTACAAACTCAATAGTAAATCCTTACTCAGTGTTGACATGAGGCGCCTATGTTGCTGCACCCTCATCTAGGCTGTGGTGCTAGGCTTGGAGAATACAGTATTAAGTAAGCTAAACATGGTTCTTTCTTTTATAGAATTTAGAGCATAGTGGGTGATGACTGACAAAATATATTAATAAATAAATTCATAAATCAGTATGTAATTAAAATCTGTGATAAATATTTTTGAGTTTTGTTAGAGAAACTAATAAGGACAAATTAATTTGGATTAAAGATCAGCGAACACGTCTTTGAGGAAGAGACCTTTAGACCCAGGATTGAGATTGAGCAAGAGTTTGCCAGGCAAGGATGAAGAGAAGAGCGTCTCAGAGGTAGCAAAGAGTATTTGCAAACTCAAGAAGTAAGGAGAGACTGACAGAAGTAAATGTAAATAGAGGGTTAGAAAAGAGTGGAGTTAGAGAAGTGAGATTGGAGAGGTGGGTGGAAGCCAGGTCAGACAACATCTTATCTATAACAGTCATGTGGATTTTTTTTATGGCAATGGAAAGCCTCTGAGTGGTTGTAAGGGAGTGAATGACCAAGTCATATTTTTAAAAATGAATCCAACGCCAAGTCTATCTATGATGTCAGTATAACTCACGATGATATAAACTCTATCCATGATGACATAAACCCACAGATCCTTAGAATCTATAAGAAGTTTTAGGTATTGTTGAGCACTTGGGCTCTGACGTTGTATAGACTTGGGTTGGATTCCAGAAAACAAGCTCTGGAGCCTTAAGTAAGTTATTTAACGTCTCTAACTTGTAATTGACTCATGTTTAAAGTAAAGATGATACCTACCTCCTAAGAATTTTGAGAAAATTAAAATAAATAATAAAGGTAAATCACCTGGTTTTTGGATGTGTCTGGAACATCGTAAGTTCTAACTAAATGTTATTTATATGATGATGATGATGACACTGATAGCAACAACAGTGACCCTAGGAAACTATGAAGAAGAAAGTGATTTGCCCAAGGTAATTTCCTTTTTCTTCATTGGCGAACATTCAATCAATCCATCAGTCTCCATTGGGACTCAGGGTCCAATATTTCAAGAGGACCCCTGTCTCAAAGAATTTTAAAAATATTATAAGGTCTTCCAATGTATTTTGTGTCCAAAAAGTGACATCAGGAAAAAGACACCAGATTTACTAGTTGAAACTTTCTCAGCAATGCCAACATCATTCTTACCTGGGAAGGTGGTCTCTGAGCCAAACAGTACTTCTGCATAGAACTTGGTACTTTTTATCCAGGAGGCACTTAGAAGCAGTTCTAAGACACTCATCCCATCTTCTATTGTGGCTAAGAGTTCAGGTCACCAGAACCTAATTGAGGTTAAGAACAATGGAGAAGCAATAGGCATAGAGTTTTGTTTACTTTGAGGGTCCTATCCAGCAGGCTAATACCCTGAAGCATCTTTCAGATTCTCAGGTCACTGCCTCTGCTAAGGTAAGGATCTGTGCTCCAGGGGACCAATAAGGTCCTTTTTCCTCCTCCACAGCTTCTTCATGGCCATGATCACTTCCTTGTTTCTCAGGGTATAGATGGCAGGATTCAGCATGGGGGTGACAATTGTGTATAGCACAGACACTGCCTTGTCCATGGGGAATGTCCGAAAAGGCCTTGCATAGATGTAGATGCAGGGCACAAAGATTAAGGTCACCACAGCAATGTGAGATGCACAGGTGGGCAGGGCCTTGCTGCGGCCCTCCCGTGAGTGGCTTCGGAGCATGACTAACAGTGCTGTGTAGGATCCCAGAAGCACCAGAAAACACATCAGGGTCACCAGGCCATTGTTAGACACCATTAAAAGCTCTAAGACAAAGGTATCTGTGCAAGCTAATTTGATCAGCTGAGGCACATCACAATAAAAGTTGTCCAGCTCGTCAGGCCCACAGAATGGCAGCTGGATAGTCAATGCAACCTGTACTATGGAGTGGATGAAGCCCCCTACCCAGGAGGCTGCCATGAGGAGTGCACAGACAGTCTGATTCATAATGAGCGTGTAGTGCAGGGGCTGGGAAATGGCAACGTAGCGGTCATACGCCATGACAGTCAGCAGGAAGATCTTGATGCCTCCAATGAAGTGGAAGAAGAAGAGCTGAGTCAGGCATCCACCAAAGGAAATGGTAGAGTTGCCTGAGAGCAAGTCGAGCAGCATCCTAGGTGCCGTGATGGAAGAGTAGCAAAAGTCCAGGAAAGAAAGATTGCCCAAGAGAAAATACATGGTCGTGTGCAGGTGTGGGTCAGAGGTCACTATGACCACAATAAGAAGGTTTCCCACTACAGTCATAAAATACATAGCAGAGAAAACAGTGAAGAAAAAAACCCGAAGCTCCCAAACCCGAGAGAGCCCCAGCAGAACAAATCCTGTCACCTGGGAGTGATTTGCTGGATTCATCTGGTTGGTATGATCTTGTCAGTGAACCTGCTAAGAAAAAAGGACATATTATTCAAGGGATCTGCAAATTTCTCTAAAATAATTCCCTCTGCTTCCTCTGTGAAATTCTTCACTCTTTCATTTTCCATAAGGAGAATGTTGTAAATGGTTCTGCAGGACACCAAGCATTTGAACATCATGTATTGGTGATATCAAACTCCAAAGGCATAAAACTCCGGATAGCAGTCATACTATTTTTGGTTTACGAGAATCAAAAAGAATAAGTCCTTAAAAATTGAAAAATGGGATGTAGAAAAGAGAGTGTTAAACTGAAAATGAATTTCGATTCTTCCAGTAACTAGTTGTGTAAACAGAAACAAGTATCTGCAGTTCTTTAAGCCTCACTTCCCTCCTCTATGATAGAAGATTAACCAAAATGTCCTCAAAGTTTCATTTACTTTAATATTTGATACTACATATGGCCTTAATTTAGAAAACCTGATGCATCCCTCCAAGCCAGACATTCAGACGAAGCTTCCATGGGTTGACATATCTCTAATATTTATCCCAAAACAACAGAAAGTGCAAGTTGTACATTATAGTCCTGAATAAATATTCAGTTGCCTTCTGATATAGCTCTATCTTGGATATACATTTTCAGGCCTAGCAGGATACTGAAGCCACGGGTAAGGATGCAGAATAGAAATCACTGGGGCCAGGCGCAGTGGCTCACGCCTGTGATCCCAGCACTTGGGACGGCCAAGGTGGGCGGATCACCTGAGGTCAGGAGTCCGAGACCAGCCTGGCCAACGTGGAAAAACCATGTCTCTACTAAAACTACAAAAATTACCTGGCGTGATGGCAGGCACCTGTAATCCCAGCTACTCAAAAACTCAAAAATTGAAAAATGGGATGAGCCGCAGGCCGAGGCAGGAGAATGACGTGAACCCGGGAAGCGGAGGCTGCAGTGAGCTGAGATCGCGCCACAGCACTGCAGCCTGTGAGACGGAGTGAGACTCTGTTTAAAAAAAAAAAAAAAAAAAAAAAAAGGAAAGAAAGAAAAAGAAAAAGAAAAGAAAAGAAATCATTGCCCCCTGCACTTTAAAAGGGTAGTGAAGAACTACTAGTCTCTCTAAAATTAGATAAGAAAACATGTGATAGAAAAAGCTTCCTGTCTTGTGGCTCTGGGAAACACAGAGAAACTATAGTCCCCGGGGAAACATAGGAGAAGGCAACAAGAATATTAAACCACTTCCGAATCGTTTGAATGTCAATATTAATTTCAGAGACATTACCCAAAGAATAATTTTTATTCATAGGGGAAGCAGCAAGAGGAAGCTATAAATATTAATTAAAATTTTAAAACCACCATCTAAAAATGCAGAACTACCTAGACATTTGGAAACCTTCAAAATAAAAGGGGTGTTTTTATACACTTAAGTATTTTAAAACATACTCGGAAAGATGACTAAACAAACTCTAAAATAAAAGCCTGCACGTTCCTGAATAGAAATGTGTCATTTCAATTTAACTTAATATTAAGTATGGGTTTCAATTATATTTTCTTTCCTTTGTCTATTCATTAAGCAAACATTTATTCAGCACCTTCTACTTACTAGGCACTGTGCTAAATACTAAGGAGTTAAAGAGTAAGCCACAACGATTTAATGCATCTGTAAGTGTGTAACACTCTGCATAGGAGTGTTCCAACACCTGCACACCTATTAGGTTTCATCAAATCATATTGATATGGTTTGGCTCTG